TTTGAGACGACAGCCCCGACCGAGATGGCACGCTTCAGAGAAACTGCGATCGATCGACTGTCCACAAAAGGGTCCTTTCAACGTTCCTACGGCTCTCATTTATTCGCAGTGAGTGAGACAACTTGAGCCCTCTATACCTAAATAATACGAACCTCGTACGTACGGCTATCACAATGTGTTCATTCCAAAACCGGCTTCATCACCGTCAGCATTACAACGAGCGATAACAATGAGAAAAATTCTCACTTCCACATTGCCATTTGGTGGTTTTGAGAATTGTATCTGGATGTCGCGTAGCCCCATAGCACACGAGCTTTAGCGGGGAATAGTCTGACCTATTGTCTGCTAATGTTAAGCCATCCAAGTCGCTCTTCGCAAACGTCCAGCTTCTATACTCCGTTTCGCTCTGGGATACACCCCAGCTGCCACAGCGTCAACCCATCCCTGCCAAATCAGCGCTGCGAGCATACCACGTGACAGCTCGACTGGCGCACAGCTGCGCCCCTACTAAAGGTCACGTGACACCCACACTGCAACGGATTGGCTCCGAAAGGTCCGTAGCGTTCTCTGCTGCCCACGGGAAGGGTGGAGCGGTGTATGGTTGGCAGTTCGTACCAAAGACTTCCGTTGCGACGAAACTACGCGCCGCCCTTTGTACGCACCGCGCGGACTGCATTCGAGTCGGCTCGTTTCTGCCTGGCTTACGGTTATGATCTCGGAAGGAAATCGGCCGTAAAGTCGGGTTATGGCGAAGGGACGACAGAGAACAGGTATTCCGGGCGACTGAACGACGCCGGATCCCTTGCCCCGTGGTACAGACAGTCGTCCGCATAATAGGGGACTGCCATTCGTAACGTCGGATGTGCTCTCGGAGGGTCGTTAAAGAGCCGGGAGGATTCAGGGATCGGGCGAAAGAAGCTCGGGACTGTAATAGGCCTTTGATCGGTTTGTAATTTTTTACCTCGAGAGAGAGAGAAACTAAATATAACGCGGAACATACTGTTATTCGGTACCAATTCAGCTCATCAAGTCATCCGTGTCTTGAAATTTACGTTTTCACTCAGAGACCTTTGTACACACGTTTGTGTGCGAATTCCACTTAACGATGTTCAAAATAATTTCGTAAAAATAAGCACACACACTTGTCTCGATCATTCTGATTAACCTGGGTTACAGTGGATGTATGAACTGTAAAGCCGGGGTCTCACTGCTCATACGTCATGCAGAAAACAGCCTGCAAACACGAGTCACCGCAATACTCGTGGTTCGAATGCCGCGTGCCACGTTTTCTTCTTGAAATCGTTGCCATGCGGCATTCGAAGCACGGATCTCGCGGTGACTCGTGTTCGAATTTGTATGCGGACTGTTTTTTTGTACGATCTACAAGGAGTATTCACTGGACGCCATATTTGTGGGTACTGTTTAGAGTGCATGCTCAAAACGAGCTTACATCAGTAGGCTGCTAAGACCGGCACTCTTGACGGTGCGGAATGCACGTTGCGAAAGAACTGTGGAAGCTCGCCATCAGCACGCGCTCAGCATTCGCGCACACAGCTATGGCCGCCAGTGAATACTCCCTGCATTCCGCACCATCAAGAGTGCCGGTCTTAGCAGCCTATTGATGTGAGCTCGTTCTGAGCATGCGCTCTAAACAGCACCCACAAATATGGCGTCCAGTGAATACTCTCTATAAAAGCGGTATGACCTCGGTTTTATTATGGGTTATACGGGGCGCTTTTGGGTGGTTTCGGAATGGGTACCGCACACGACACACGCGTGTGCTGTCCAAGTTTATCAGAATTATTGAGACAACGACGTTTATTTTGGGAGGAAAATTTCACCCTGAAAGAGACCCCAACTAAGATAGGGTGATAGGGGGGAAGGCAAACTGGGATATAGAAAGAGAGATAGAACGTGGTTGCCCTGTGCTTGTCCTCCGTGTTTTATTCTTTCGATTTGAGGTATTGAGACAAGTTTAGGTTTATTCAGGCGTGGAGTGTGTGATGATGAACATACGTGAAGGTGCTTTATTGTAAATTTTTTAGGAGTTTTGCTTCGTCCGAGGTTTCCGCCGTCGCATCGCTCGTACATAATAAATAAATATTTAAAAAAAAGAAGACACGGTGTTCGTCATGGACATGATGAGAGGAATATCTGCGGACACACCTCGAGAATATTCCAAGCGCGTTCGATTTACACATGTGTATGCCTGGAACAAGCCTGCAGAAAGTCTCTGTATGACCAATCTGACATGGCCATCACACAAAAAAAATAAAAAATAAACAGGCGTTGACACCGTCTTTAAACTATCTCTTGTAGGGTGTATTACTTGGATCGCTTGGAGACCTCCGCGGTAACTAAAGTTATCGCTGGGGAAAAGGTATGTCTAAAGCCCCTTCGTACGGTGAGCGAGCGTTCCAAGACGCGTCTTAAGCGCATTGGCACGCAAGGAGGAGCGCGCAAATCAAAGGGGAAACGTTGATAACGCCAAGGGAACGCGCGATAACGCGACGGCCAAACGCGCGCCGGCATTGGTTGAGATAGGAGGGAAACAAGAGCGAAACAGCAAAAGAAGGAAGATCGAAGGACCTGCGTAGGGGAGAGGGAGGGAGGTGGAATGCCTACGCTGTCACAGTGCATCGGACGCAATGCGGAGCGCAAGGTCGTCTGCTTCATGACGCAGGGGGTTGCGGTGACGTTAGAACACCGAGCTATGCTTGGCTCCGATTGGAGGAATAGTGGGCAGAACTCAAGGGAGCTAGCCATGCAGCTAGTATGGAGGTCTACCCACTATCCTTCCAATCAGAGGCAATGAAAGCGCGGCATTTTGATGTCACTGCAAACACCTGCTCAAAAAGCAGACGAACTTGCGGTCCGTATAGATAGCCCTGTCATCAACCACGTAACGCCGAGAGCGGTACGTCACGGCTTACATTGCCTTTCTTTGAGCATATTCTTCGTGGCTCATCCGATTGACGCAGAAGGTATGTACACGTTGACATTGCGCTTTTAGTCTTTGTGAACGCGTTTGCGTGTCTCTTAGCCCTTTGACTGCCATCTGACTAAAAGCCGTCCGCTACTTTAAAGCGGAGCAGGCGGGGCTACCATCGACGCGCCAATGTAAAAGAGCAAAACGTAAAGGTAAAAGGCGTGCACAACAGAGGAGGAGGAAGGGAACATGCCGCAGCCTTTCTTATTCAGGGGCATAAGTAGGGTGTGTACTTTCCGGTGTTTATTTGTGAGAAAAATCGGCGGATGTTTTTCGGTGTTTATTTATTTTCGAAACACCGGTGTATTTCGGTAGAACGTCTCACGGCGAGGCTAAAATCGGTGATTATCGGTGAAAAAAAGCGATTGATCACAGACAGAGGGTTCCAATTTTATTCACATAGTTCATACACTTCTTCTCTAGGTAGCAACTATTTCTCACACTTGGTCTAGTAGATGAAAGCATTATAGTATATGCAAGCATACATGCCTTGCCTGTAGATGCTTGCATCTACACGTAAGGAACGTGCTGCCGTCATGGCAGCACGTTCCTTGCGGTTCGCAACCCGCAATTATGAAAACGCACGCTCCTGTACGACACAGACGTTGTTAGTGTCTTCCAGGAACCACAGCAACCTCTCAATACATGGCTTGCACCGACATCACTTGGCCAGACACAATGAGGAAAAGGCACGTGAGAGCCTACCCTCTACTGCGTTATTTTTTCCACAAAAGGGGGCCATGGGAGACACAATAGGGGAAAGGCGTATGAAAGCTTAGCTTCCACTGCGTTCACTAGACGCTTTTGACCCCCAGAAAGGAGGGCGGACTGACGCCACCTGCAAGCCATGTATAAACACTGGAAGAATGCAGGATCCACGAGATAACACGTTTGACGAACCTCTACGGGGAAGGGATTTCGCCACTAGCAACGAGCGGTGTTTTTCGGTTTTAACCAGGGCGAAAATATCCAACCACCGGTGTTTTTCGGTTTTAACCGATTTTATATTTTCGTCACCGACGGATGTTTATCGGTGTTTTTCGGTTAAAACCGGAAAATGCACACCCTAGGCATAAGGTATATCGTGCCCGCTACGTCATTCGTTAGCTGCTTCGCGAAGTCGTGACGTCATGTGGCCGCTGCGCTATTCCTTGAGGCGTTATAATCCGCGCCTAATGTCGTCTTAGGCACGCGCCGGCGGTCACCAGGATACTCCAGGCTCCTGCAAGTCATACCTCGTTCAGCTGTTAGCGATTTCTTTCATGTCGAACTGGGGATCTCTCGGTACGGGATCCGATTCCAACTGAGCAGCTTGGTAAATATCGCTTGTTAGAGTTCGTTACGCGTAATTATGGTACGTTTTGATTAATTAGGAACATTTAACTTTGAACGCCTACTCTTTAGACGTTATGCTTTGCCTACTATGGGCTGTATCTACTTTCTTGATCTGTGTATAACGCTTTTTCGTCACATCTGAGCGTGACATTTTTGCATACAATCTAGCTCATAAACACATTCTGTGCTCTTTCTCGCAAATCTTAACTTTATCGGGTTTTTTTTCCTATCACACGCGTTGCAAGGGCAACCGGTGGCCGAGTGGGCTAGTGCAGGGAGGATTGGTAGTCGACTGGGCTAGCGCACACCAGCTCGGAGCATGTGGAGCGAAAGCTCGCGCTGCAGAACCCAGGTATCTCGGGTGCAATCCCCACCCCTGCCCATTTCGGTCTGGATGAGCATCGTACCGGCGTGCGGTCGTGTATCACTACTGCGTGGAGCACGTTAAAGACTCCAGGCTAGCGGTTGTACTGCAGGCTAAATTGCCTACCAACAGCGGGTAACAATGTCGCCATGTTCTGGCAGACTAAGCTCCTGCTGTATAAACAACTAATGACAAATTTGACTTTTTGGGGGGCCAGCGCACACCAGCTCGGACCACGTGCAGCGAAGGCTCGAGAGAGAGAGAAAAAACTATTTATACGCCAAGGTCCGGCGCTCAGTTGTATTTAGTCACCTACCAGTCCTCACCCAACACGTTTTTCACGTGCTGAATGAGCGCCGGCAGGAAAATATGGGCATCGGTTGGTGGACTAAGCCAGTCCGTCCATGAGTGAGGTTGGAGACTGTGAGATAGGGAGGAAAGAGAGGATAGGAGGGTAGGTTGAATGTAGGAGCATTGCCACAGGCAGTGTTCTAGAGAGGGGTATTCGCCGCAGTTGGGGCATTTCGGGCGTCCGGCAAGGCCCTGGATATAGTGGCGAAAAAGGGGAGTCACGACCGAATTGGTCTGAAGTCTGCGGAGAATGGCGCTGTCCTCCCGCGAGAGGGATTGGGGGGGAGCGATAATTGTGGCGGTGTTAGCCCGTAGTTCTCTTAAGAGGGATGTACGCTCCTTGTGCAAGAGTTTTCGGTGTTCCTTGGGGTCATAGTCGGACGGCCAGAGGCACGGAGGACCCGGAAAATTCGTAACGCGGGTGAGCTCATGAGCTCGGTTGTGTTCCTCTACGCCTTGATGTCCGGGGATCCACTGCAAGGTAACATGGAGGGAGGGATGCGTGTCAAGGTGACGTTGCAAAAGGCTGTGGATATGTCCGGGTAGCGCACCGTCACGAAAACTGCGGCATGTTTCCTGGCTATCTGTTCGAATGCAAATGTGGTGAGTAGGATGGTGAGGTCGAGTGATGGCTTCAAGAACCGCTAGGGTCTCCGCGGCGGATGCGGTCGGGACATTGATGTGTTCATTAATATGCTCATAGCCAGGCCCTACTACAGCCGTTATGCTTCTGCTGGGACTGTGACTGGCATCTGTGTAGTAATATGTGGTATCCGCTCTTGGTGTCTCGCGGTCTATCCGTTGGACTAGTTGTGTGCGTCGGGCAGCATGTTTGTCCGGATGCATATGCTGAGGTATGGGCATGACTGTGACGCGGGGTAGGGAGTCCCACGGTGGGGGTGGGGGTGGTGGAAAAGGAGGCAAGGTGGTGGTGTCGTAGCCTTGATGCTCGAGGAGCTTGCGGCCTTGGGGGGATGTTTGAAGCCTTGCAATATGTGCTTGGCGGCAAATAGTGGTACGTTCTTCAAGTGTGTTAAAAAGACCAGTCGAGGCCACTAGAAAATTTGCGGCAAATCGTGGTACTCCCAGGGCTAGTCTGGTGTATCTTCGGAGCGCTGCTTCCAATTTGGAGAGCTGAGTCTTGGTGATGGATAGATATGGAAACTGGTACAGTACACGGGAGTACACAAGGGCCTCGATAATCCTGCGAAGCTCCTGTTCCTTGAGTCCTCTTTGTCTGCGCGTTACTCTACTTAGCATGTGGTAAATCTGATTGAGCTGCCGGAGAATCGTGTCCATCCATACGTGGGCCTTGCCATTGTCCTGTAGGAGGAATCCCAGTATTCGGATGTGAGAGCGGCGAGGAATAGGGGCGTGGTCAATGTGGAGCTTGATGCTGTCGCGTTGCTCTTCTGCTTTACGACCTGTTTGATTGGTAACTACAATGAATTCAGATTTGGTGGGAGAGCATTTGAGGCCAATACTGCTCAGGTGGTTCTGAATGACATTCAGACCTGACTGGATCGTGTGTTCCTGTTGTCCAAGGGATCCTTTACAACACCAGATTGTAATGTCATCTGCATAAATGTTGTGTTGCAGGTGTGATATAGAACTGAGCTGGGCAGGTAGGTGAAGTAGGGCAATATTAAAGAGAGTGGGGGAAAGAATGGAACCTTGAGGGACGCCGGTATTTAGTGCTCGAGGTGTCGAAAGCTCTCCATTGATTTGGATTTGTACAGAACGACCAGTTAAGAAAGCTTTTATATAGATGTAGAGGCGAGCGCCCGGTTGTAGTGTCAGAAGGTTGGTAAGGATGGCTGAATGTGGTACGTTATCGAACGCTTTGAGTATGTCTACACCCGCGATTGTTCGGGTTTGGACTAGGCTAAGATTTTGGTACACGTCCTCCGAGATTCGGAGCATGGTGTCCTGAGCGCTGACGTGTGATCGGAAGCCTGTCATTGTGTAGGGCAGAGCGTCACTACTTTTTATGTGCCAATTGAGACGGTTGAGGGCCATGCGTTCCATTAATTTGCCTACACATGATGTGAGGGATATCGGACGAAAGTTGGTAATAGAGTTGGGGGGCTTGCCGGGTTTAGGGATTGGGATTATCAATGCCGCTTTCCATTCTTGTGGAAGGGTGCCAGATTCCCATGCGGTGTTTATATATTCAAGAAGCTGTTCTAATTGTGGAAGTGGGAGGTTACGGAGGGTAGTGTAAGTAATACCGTCTTTGCCTGGAGCCGTGTTTCGTTTGAGCGAAGATAGGGCCGCATGTAGCTCACCTACCGTAAAGTTGCTGTTAATGCCTGTGTCCATTTGGTCGAGTGATTCGGGTGGATAGCTAGGAAGTTGCTCTGTACTCGGGCCGATGGGATAGAACGTTCGGTAAATTTCTTCTGCTGTCTGTTCTCGCGTCTTGCCAGAGTGCATCATAATTTTGTCCTTTGTGTGTCGTGTGTAGCCCTGTCCTAGAAGCGTGCGTAAAATTTTCCAAACCTTAGGAGTGTGCAGTTGACCATTTAGCTGGTCACACATTTCAAGCCAGTTTTCAGTACAAAGTTGTTGCGCGTATTCTTCAGCTTCTAGCGTGATTTCTCGGATGGCCTTGCGAAGGCCACGATTTCCTTTTCGTTTCTTCCATTTTTGGACTAGTCTGTGTCGCTTGTTCCAAAGGTTAAGCAGATGAGAGTCTATTTGCGGGTGTTCAGGGGTGCGTGTGATATTTTTAGTGTGCTTCGATTTCGTTTCACATATGGCGTTGACCCAGGACTGTAGATCTGTCGGCCCGTGTACCTGGTCTAGGTCTAATCGAAACCGGTGCCAGTCAGTGAGGTGCGTTTTTGGGCCTGAGTGGGTGGGACGGGGCTTGATGCGAGGATCAGCTAGCTTGATTTCGATGATGTGATGATCACTGCCTAGGTTTTCGTGAAGATTCGTCCACGTGACGTTTCCCACACCGCGGTGCCAGCTGAGGTCTGGGTTAGTATCTCGCTCAACGCTGTGGCCCTGTCGCGTGGGGTCCGTTGTGTCGTTAAGGCCACGGTCCCACTGAATGTGGCAGTTTGGGTACTTTTTGGCAGGTCATTACTCATCTCCTTCTAAATACTGTTTTGTGGGATTGATGTCATTCGAAAGGCAATGCAATCCTCTTTCATTTGATATCATGTGTGTGTTGGGTTTTACTGTTCATGCGCATTTGTAGCGTTGCGAGTATGATGGCGCGAACCCTCACTTGCTCCCCTAGTTCATGTTTTATGAACGATCCATTAAAAATAACACGGTTCCAATATAGCAGTTTTGTTAAGATGATGTCGGAGCAGAATGCAACGATACACTTTTTTGGTATTTGCAATACTTTGTTTTTTTCATCCCTCCAAATATTGCCCTAAAATTGACATTTTTTAGCACAAATATGTTTTTAATGACAAGCGCTAGGACAATGAAATTAGCTACAGATGTAGTGCTTATAATTGGTAATATGCAGAAAAAAATTTAATGTTGTGTGAAATTTGTTTGTTTAGATATTTTATATCAAACGTAGCACTTTTTTGTGCTTCGAGTCATGGTACTTCAAATGCCACTGAGGAAATAATTAAACTATGATAAAATTTTTTATAACATTTAGAGCTACAATGGTTGCCCAAGAGGTGGACGATGGCTTTTTTTCATTTTCAAAATCATAACGCTCCTGGAGCCCTTCAAACTTACCTGTTTTTGACGTATATCTTTTTTGACTTCAAACAGATTTATTGGCATCTAATAACATTTATTGTTTTGAATAGATAAACATTGCGATGTATTAAATTTTCACAATGATCTTGCTTTGGTTTTTTAATAGGTGTAGAGCTTAGCTAATTTTAAAACAATTAAAAACTGTTTGGGTGTTTTGTTGCGCTACCTGGCGGATGGCAGACAAACTGCTGATTTCTAATGTTCAAAAAATTTCCGAGGGCGGCGTTGGCGTCTGTATCATCATCAATCACCGTGTCTTTTTGCCTCCACATTTAAAAAATATATTTGAAGATTTACTATCGATAAATGAATGGTTTAAGTACTGGGTCAGGTTAATAAATCTAAGACAAATAATTACACAAGCGTAGCGTGATATAATGTGTTCATTATTCGATATGATTGAAATCAATAAGCAATAAAGACGAAGAGGAAAAGAATACACCCGAGTTCATGCCTATACTTCGTTTCAGCTTCGGTCCACACGCAGCCAAAGTTACAAGCGCGAGCTCCGGGCTTTCAGCATCCCTGCCAAGCACGCTCGCTCGTGCAGTGCAACCACTGTTCTGGACCGCATGCTCGCGCTTGTAGCATCGGCTGCGTATGGACCGAAGCTGAAACGAAGTATAGAGTCACTAAATGAGCTTAAATTATCGGCACTCCGTTCCCCAGAATTGTTTTGGCCTCCGCCATTTTGGGTCTTGTTCAGAGCAAACGCAACTGCCGATCGTCATGATCCAAAAGAATGACTTCATTAGATGCGGTGCTAGGAAGCTGATGCAATATTGCAATGCTCTGTCGCGGGTTGTTTAAACATTAGTGAGGGACGGAAAAGCGTTTCCTGTGATTTTAGATAAAGCTTCAGATAACTGGCAACCATGATTTTAAGCCACAATATGTCCAAGCCTTTACTCTGAACCGTAGCTATAGTTTACTGGCACAAGCGGGAACAATGAGGAAGAGGCAGGTGTCAAAAGGTAGTGGCTTCTGGAATCCACGGGGCTTACGTCATGGCCCCTCCAGGTATTACAAGCCTCTTAAACAAGAGCATGAATAGTGTCATTAAATAAGCTACGCTTCAGAGTAGCAAGACTTGGCCATATTGTGGCTTAAAATCATGGTTGCCAGTTATTTGAAGCTTTATCTGAAATCACAAGAAATGCTTTTCCGTCCTCCACTTAAACAGTTTTCGACAAAGGAAAGCAACATTACATGAGCTTCCTAACACCGAATCTTATGCTGAGGATGTCGCACTTTTGAATCATGACGATCGGCAGTTGCGCCTGCTCTGCACAAGCACAAAAATGGCGGCGTTCACAGCACTGTCGGGGAAGAGAGTGCCGATACTCTAAGCGCAGCTCATTCATTGGCTCTAGTTCCCGCGAAACTCCTTTTCCCTGGCTGAAACTGAAAGTAAATATGAATAAACACCATTTTTATAGCTTATTTAGTTATAACCAACTACACATAATGAGAGGAGGAAGCGGCCGGGTAGGAGAAACGCGGGTTTTATGTGCGACCGTTCTAACCGTCTCAAAAGAGAGAACGCGCGAGCTTTCGCTGGTATAAAAAGGGCATCCAAAGAAAAGAGGCGGCACGCTGTGTTCTTAGTCATTATGCGTCTAATTGCAAATTGTTGTGTGCATGTTTATACAGCCGGAAGTTAGTCCGCCTTAGTGGGCGTCTGGTGTCTCAGCTGTAGAGGAGCAATTTAACCAGTGCGGTACAACCACAAACCTGGGGTTTTTAACGTGCACCACGCTGTACGGATACACGACCGCACGCCGGTACGATGCTCTTCCAGATCGAAACGGGCAGGGCCGGGTGAGTTCTGCACTCAAGCTCCAAGTGCTCCGAGCTTTCGCTCCAAGTGCTCCGAGCTGGTGTGCGCCAGACCATGCACTCGGCCACCGAGTGCATGGTCTAACCCCCCGCCCTTGTGCGTATAATTTATATACAGGTATAATAATTTGAAGATCGACGATGGACGTCGATCGTCTCGAGATAATGTAACGTAATAACATTATAAAAATAATAAATTTGTTGAAGGACTGAACGACTCAATTTTTCAATTCTTGGATTGTAATATGGCGGTAGCCTATTGTACTTACTGTTGATGAAGAGCAATATGAGGTGAGGAGGTAATAATCAAATGACGAGGCTCTATAAGGACGACGACATTAGTGGGTGTCGAACCACAACGTACAGTGCCAGACTTGTTTCAAGTATCGTGTACTCAAAGACTTCCTTCACCCGCAACAGAGTATGGTAGAATCAATCAGGATGCTGCTTTACAACTGTACGTGGAACAGGAAAACTGCACTGTGCAGAAGGGCGGCTTATTCGTTAATATGAGGGACGGATTTCTAGCAGCATTCCCTGATTGACTAAATGGCCTCGTTGACGTAAAGTGTCACCGTTCCAAAAGATTCTTGAAGTATACTTAAACCGCAAAGGAGTATGAGGCGAAAAATAAGAAAAAGGAGCCTGGTGTGAAAGGTCCAATCACCACCATAGCTCCTACTATCAAATACAAGGGCAGTTACACAATACACAAAGAGAGTTTTTTTTATTTAGTTATATTTACACTCAAGGGCATTGATATCCAACGTATTCAGAGGGATGGCACCTTCTGGTCAACCCACAAAGAGCCTTTTCTACTCAAGTTTTACATGGAAGGCCCGACTTCCGCTGAAATTCCTCACGTAGACGAGTTGTCCGATCGAATTAACTGCCATTACTCCCAGTCTGGGAATCTCTCAATCTTCGTTCGTAGGCCATAGTATCATGAGATCGAGGGGTGTGGCTCTTCGTCCGCCGAATATTTCTTCGGCGGGTGTTTTTGCCGTGTAATATGAGACCGTCGCGTACTCCTGGAACAAGAACCTGGCGATTTTTCACTGAACTGCTTCTTCCGTAAGCATCAAAAGGGCTTTTTTTCGTTTCGCAAACCATCCCCTACGGAAAAAAAACAGCTGAAGCTG